TCTGAAGTGGGCGATAAGAATGATTCCCGCTATGGCAACTGTCACCCGCTGTTGCTCTATTTTGCGTAAGCGCCATGTTGATTTGGTGTACCACGGTCTCGGGCTGGTGTCTATCATGAAGATGCCAAAAGATTTGCTCTCGTCAGGGCAGGCCTACGTGCCGTGATCTGTGGCAGCATAGAGGAACTGGAGTGGGGGCGTGCGGACAGGCAGCATGATTCCTGCGACGGCAAACTGGTGTCTGCTGTTTTTCTGTTTTGCGTAAGCCGCGCAAGCGGTACGTTGAGGTTGTGCACCATCGTGATTGGCTCATGCCCATTGTGATGATTGACACTCATCTGCTCTGGTTAGGGCAGGCCTACATGCCGTAATCTGCGGCAGTATGAGGAGCTGGAGTGGGGCCGTGCTAATCTGAAGTGGGCGATAAGAATGATTCACGCTATGGCAACTGTTGCCTGCTGTTGCTCTCTTTTGAGACTCCTTTGCGCAAGCCGCGTAAGCGGTCCGTTGAGGTTGTGCGACAGTGTTTTTGACTCGTGTGCATCGTGGTGATGCGCACTCATCTGCTATGGTCAGGGCAGGCTTATGTGCCATCATCCGCACCGCCGCTCAAGAGTCAACAATTGCCAACATGGTGCCGCTTGGCAGTTGCACGAACAGAAATGTGATGTGGTCACGCATATGCATGACATCATGGTCCTTCCCATGGGATGTTTCAGAACGAAGGAAAGAGCACCCAAATAATCGTTTGCTTCTTAGTATATATGACATATATAACATAGTAACATATATATATATATATATAACATATATATATACACACACTATTCACTGTGTTTACATACATACATATATATATATATATGTATATATACATATATATATATTATACTACAGAGTTCTTAAAGCTTCTCGATGTTTTGATGGAAACGACCCAGGAGTCCTTACCTTTGGCCGCCTCGCTGCGGGACTCGGGGTGGGCCTTTGACCCCGGCGTTTGCTTGGTCGGGGCCCGGCGCCCGAATCCATTTCATGGTTTCTCCGGGCTCTTGGGGTGTTGAGGGTGTTTGCGTTTTCGATGTTTTCTGGCTTTTTGAGGCGCGTTCTGCTCGTTGTGGGTGCTTTGTGTCGGGGCCCACGAGCTATTCCTGCGGGATGCTTAGCCTACAAGTTCACTACTTGCCGCAGTCACAAGTACATCAGATCATCTCAAAACCGCAGATGATGAAGCACTGCCACCCATCCAATCCCGTCCCATCCCGATCCGACATTGATCTCAAAAGACTCCACACAAGTAGCAGAAGCCCCCTCGTGCGAATTGTTTGACAAGCCCTGGCTGCTGTCGACTGCACCCTGCCATGGATCCCTTTTACGCTTGGCAGATGCTCCTCGATGAGCGAAGGGACCGCCCGCGGGCACGTGCACTACAACATCGTGAAGTCTCGTTTGATAGGGTTATTAGTTTTGTGGAGCTGTCCCAACTCGTTAGTTAGGGCTGATCCGGCTGTCTACTCTGTTCTTTTCCCGTTTGATTCCATCAGCCACCTTTCTGTGTCAGGAGCTCAATGCGCGGCTGTATCAAGCAATGACTCAAAGCACAGAGCAGGACGCCGGGTTGGACTTTCAGCTTTCTGTGCTCCCGTGAGTCGGGGTCTGTGGGGTCCATGCAGGAGAGGCTCTGCAAGACAGCGATGGAGCAAGACACACTCAGGATGAAGAGCCGGGGTCCTCAGGACTGCGTACTTGTTTCCGGAATCGTGTGGGACGTGTTGGGAACTGTAGATGCTCGACACGGCGAAGATTGCTCCTTTGAGAGGATCGGCTCTTCCGACAGACCTTGCGGGAGCCCCGCGAACCGGCACCTCGACCTCCTTGCAGGAGCAGTTTAGGGTTTAGGGTTCCGGGATTAGGGTTTAGGGTCTAGGGTACTTGAAGGCCAACTCCGCTTATTGTACCTAACTGTTTGTTCCTTCTGACTGTCGTGTGTGATCTAAACCCCCGAAAGCGTCGACACAGAAAGATTGATTGCCTTTGACTGACTGGCAGGCCGACAGACTCCCGTCGCCGAGCTGTTTTGCACATCGGTTTGCGTCTCTTTGTGGGTCTGCTTTCCTTTGCTTGGAAGTTTCTGTCGGTGTACTTGCCTCTCAATGCGAATCTTTCTGTGGTTTTTACCTGTCTCCGTCAGTTCCTCCGTCTGTCCATCTCTCTATTTTCTCCTCACTGTCTCGCTGATTCATTGGTCCTCGAAGCCGTCCGTCGTTGGTCATTGTGCGCTCAACGATCCAAAAACCTCGAACCCATCGATTCGTGGAGCATGCCTGTGTGCGCCTAAGTGAGATCGAGCGTACTGTGCAGCATGGCGATGTTTTGAGAACTGCATGCGTAACCGTGCTCACAGGGACTACCACGTCGTGTCCTCCCGAGTGTGTCGCGCTAGACTTTGTGTTCTGGACTACAGGCCACAACTCAGCAAAACATGTACCCTTCCGACCCTTCCTGCTTCACGTGCGTGGCCGACGCTCTCTGCTTTTCCGCCTCTCTGCAGTTGGTTCGAACGCTTTCCTACGGAGTAGGCTGCCGAAGCGCTGCACCGCTTTAACGTCTTCGTCATAAGCAGGCAGCATTTGTAGTATATCCACATGCATGCAGATGCCGTTTGTTGTTTTTTGTTTAAATTTTGAGGTTGTGCAGAATGTCTTGGTGGGCAGAGGCGAGTTTTGCTGCTTCAAGCTCGGGGAGGGTTCACCCTGGATCCCTCAAGCTTGGATCCAGACACGAGCCTGTCCCCTAGCCCTCAGCGAGAGGACACGGCCGCGCAGCGCTGTACCTCCCGCAAGGCAACGGCGCATCGAAGCATGGTTGAGATCTTCCTCCTATCTGTCTCGATGACGATGATAGTTGAGATAATGGGGGTAGCGGCGCAGGTGGTCTTGCACTTCAGGATATACGTTCTGCACTGCTCTCCTTCGAGCAAGCATGTAGTAGACTACTGCGCATACTGGTGCTACAGAGTGGTTTAAGCCTATACTAACCGTCTTAGAGTCACGGGTATGATCCGGGAACATGTTCACCTCACGGTGGCTTCACTGCTCTGTGATGCAGCATTCCTGGAAGCCAGGCCACGTTTTGAAGCCCTGCATCATCTGAGGATTGGATAGCTGCACAGCGTGCCAAGATGAATGCATGGCGGCGAGCACAGACGGCGAAGCAGAAGAAGGACACCTTCAGAAACTTCAGGCTATCCGAAGGCATGAAAGGAAAGTTTTAGCAGCATGAGTCCTAGGCGATGTCGCCCGAACATATTATCCAGCCTGCCAGGACCTGCAGGAGCCGATGGATGGAAGGAAGACCTGCAGTGGTCTTGGACTCACCTGCTCGTACTTCATCAGCTCACAAGTCTCCTGTCACTGGCCTCCCCGACTCAAACAGGTCCATGCTCTCGCGAAGCAGATCACAGCAGCTCTCGCCTTGACCCAGGCGTTTCAGGCGCGCATGCTGTTTAAGGATGCAGACTGTTGACTCTTAACTTCTTAAATCAGAAGCTACCATCTGCACGCAGCTTGTGCACGCTGCATTTCGCGGTTCCGTGGACCCTGACTCCGCCTGCAGGTTCTGCTCCACTCCAGCCTTCTGCATCCATTCCACGCCCGAATTTGCGATGTCGTCTCCTTGGCCGTGCAGAAACTCGGTCGCACACGAAGCCAAGATCATCGCGACTCTGTGCGAGCCAGCAAAGGAAAATGCGGCTTTGATGGTGCCTGACTGGCAGGCCACCACGCAGCAAAAGCTTCTTTGGAGTCTGGTAAGCTGTGATGGCTGCAGGAAAGCTTCATGTCGGACCTCACGACCTTGCTGGAACACTTATTGGGCCTGCCAGAAGAAGCTTTCTTCCTGCGAGTTCGACACAACTGGCACAAGGGAAACGTAGTGCCTCGGACCGCTGGGAGTGCCTCCAAGCAACTCAATTGTCAAGTGCTGCTTTCCACCAGGTTGCAGTCCAAATTTCCTTCGACTCCTGCGCCACGCCGGCGCACGCAGAGCTTCTCGAAAGGAGTCTCCGCGATGGTAGTCTGAGGCCAGCTGGCCCTTTCTTCGAAACCCCATACACCCAGCACGAACCTGAACTCTCCCAGGCGGATGGCGCTCCGAAGCTGCACGCGGGCCTTTTCGGCCTGGCCGGTGTCGAAGGCGCGATGCGAGAAGTTCCGCAGTGCACAGGTCAGCTGTAAATATGCGTGCAGGCTTGAAGGCCGTTCTAAGAAGCGTTCGGGGGTCGATCTGGTCTCGGAACACTGAAAAGGTGCTTCGCCAGTTCCTGCTGCGAGACATGGAGTTCGAAGCGTGCTGGCCTCGGGGATGGCTGTCAGGGGCATGGTCACAGGGGGAACATGGGTTGAGCTTCGAATGCGCTTGAAAGAAACAAGACCTCTGCAGATTCCTGCTGGAAGCCGAGGTTTTGGGTCACAGAGCGGCACGAATGGCACATACCCAACTTTTTGCAGGCAGTCGTAGAGCTTGAGCAGCTATGTGTAGGGTCATTGTGACGGCATCGAGTCCGGGCAGACAGCTGCTCCGGGTTGCCTTCCAGGCGTTGCAATCCCCTAGCGCTTTCCTTGCCTCCCAGCCCTTTGAGCTAGGAGGAGGCTCGGAGGGTGCAGACTGCAGAGGGGGCAGTCGCAACTTCCAACTTCCGTTCCATGCTGTGTCTGCATTCAAGGTCCAATAGCTTGGCCGTCGCTGCATTGCCTGTAGGTGCCAACATGACACTTCTTTTGCACCCGAACTGCTCTTCAAAGACGGAGCTCGGTGACCGGCTGAGGGCGACTCCAGTATGATTAGAGCCATTAGGGTTCATCTTCAGTGCTTGTCCTGAGAATCCTCCGAGGCTTTGCAGCCATGACCCTGTCTGCGGCGGGTCACCAGCGACCGACCTCGCCTTTTCTGCTAACTGCAGGACTTGCGGTTGTTTTCTGTTAGGCAGGGCCTTAGCCGTGCTTGTGCAAAGGTGAATTGCGCCAAAAAGCCTTTCCTGGCCTGATTCTGGCAAGGATCCAATGGTGAGATATGGGCTGGGCCTTTCGGTTGGCGCCCCAAGCTGGGTTTCATGTTTAACGAACATGTTTGATGAACCTGTGCTGCCGGCCACCTGCCTAAGGCCGCGACGCAGCAGATCGTTTCTATGCAGGCCAGCAATGGCCAACACAGACCTTGACCACGTACCAGAATCTGTCATGCCTGGCGACACCTCTGTAGTGGAAAACTGACTAGGTGGCCCGCTGTGTGCATCCGAGGAGACTGAGGGAAGGCAGTTTCCACGTCCAATCATGTTCGGGTCGTTATGATAATCGCAAGGTTACTTACTTTCTGGGCATACGAGTATGCCGTATGCTGGAATCCTAGAAACGGCTCAAGCAATGACAACACCAAACGTGGCGTTAACAGCAGCGACAACAACATCATCAGCAACATCAGTAGCAACGTTACAGCAACCAGGGTCCTTCTGCTTCGGTCTCTATCGATCAGTTCCTTGAACTCCCATATATCGGGTGCATTCCCCTAGACGCCAAAATGCCATTCCGAATATTCGCGCCCACAATCCGAAGACCTAAAGGCCAACCGAAAGCCCAAAGGCCCTAAACTCGAGACCTGGATACCGAAATTGCAGGAGCTATCCATGCTCATGGATGGTGAGCAGACGCTCGTGCTGGCAATTGAAGCAGCCGCGGGCTCAGTTTTTTTTTTAAAGGTTTTGTAGTTTGGGGCTTTCAGGTTTGTTCTAAGATTTGACTCTTGCAGTTTTCGAGCTTTGGAGTTCAGAGTTCAGGTTTAGGGTGCTAAGGCTCTGGTTCAGCTCATCAATGGTCTGAGATCAAGTCTGTCTTCACTCATCATCACTCATCATCGGCCATGCTTCCCCAATCCTGCTGTGACGACTCTGACCACACCGCCTGTCCCAAGCGAGAAAGCTGCAGATTGCTCGCGTGCCACCAAAATTATCGCTACTACTGCTGCTCCTCCTCCTCCTACGACGACGACGACGACTACTACTACTACTTACTACTACTACTACTACCACCACTACTACTACTACTACTACTACCCCTGCTCCTAGTTCTACTCCTGCCCTACGCCTACTCCTACTCCTACTACTCCCACTCCTCCTACTACTACTACTACTACTAATACTACTACCACCGCCACCACCACCACCACCACCACGACTACTACTACTACTACTACTACTTCTACGACTACTACTACTTCTTCTACTACTACTACTACTCCTACTACTACTACTACTACTACTACCACCACTACTCCTACTGCTACTACTACTACTACTACTACTCCTACTACTACTACTACTACTACTACTACTACTACTGCTACTACTACTACTACTACTACTGCTGTTAGTTACTAGTGGTAGCAGCAGCAGCAGCAGCAGCAGTAGCAGGAGGAATCCCAAAAGTGTGAACGACACCGGCAGGCCTTGATGGGGTGAAGAAGTGGATCGAAGAGAAGAAAGCCCAAGGCACTGCTGGTGTGCAGCGCTGAGCGCCAATCGTGCATCCGAAGTCTACTCAGTCAGCTCCTCTGTTGAAAACTCGTTCCCATGTTTCACACACAAAGTTTGCTACATCTGGTTCCGGCATGCAACCTGCCCTATAGACTGGTTCTCAGCATTGGCTACGTCGGATTCAACGCGTGGAGACGTGTGGTCAGACGGGCTTGCTGGGGTTTGTTGTCGTGTCAAGTAGCCATGTGTACTGTTCAAATAGCCATGTCCGCTTTGTCTTGGCTGGTAGCGATGACTTGCCTTCGTGTGCCATATGCGCCCTTTAGCGCAAACGGCAAGAGTGTGGCAAAGGTCGGTGGCGCTGTCGTCGGCGGGATGCTTGGGGGCCCCATCGGCGCCGTCGTCGGTGCACAGGCTATGAAACCACCCGGTCATGGTTGAATACCGACTGTGTACTGTGTACAGTGTACTATTGTGGTTGTGGGGAGGCGCTAGATTGGGAAAGCTTGAGCCGCAGACAGCTTGTCGATGATAGATCTGTCCGCGACGATCCTGGGGCATGTGATTTCTCAAAGCGATATTTGCAATAAGAACCTGGAACACTAATTGACGGATCTGTATGGCTACGACGACGACGACGACTACTACTGCTACTACCAGACCACCACTACTACCACTACTACTTCTTCTACTACTTTTACCACGCCCACTACCACCACTACCGCCGCCACCGCCACTACCACTACCGCTACCACTACCGCTACTGCTGCCACTACCACTACCACCACTACCACCACTACCACCGCCGCTACCACTACCACTACCACTACTGCTGCCACTACCACTACCGCTACTACCCCCACTCCCACTCCCACTACTATTGTTACGACGACTACGACTACCACTACCACTACCGCTACCACTACTACTACTACTACTACTACTACTACTACTACTACCACGACCACCACCACCACCACCACAACCACCACGACTACGACTACTACTACTACTACCACCACCACCGCTACCACTACCACTACACCACGACTACTACTACTACTACTACTACTACTGCTGCTGCTGCTGCTACTACTGTGGCTACACTTACTACCATGTCTTCAGGTCTGAGGTCGAAGGTCTCGATCCAAGCCTCTCCAAACCCTCTGAGCCCTTGGAAGGTGGCGTCGAAAATGGGCCCGGCCCTGGACAGTGCACTCGAAGCACTGGAGGGTGACCTGGCAGAGGAGGAGAAGGATGCAGAGAAGCAGGAGGTGCAAGAGGAGGCCACCTGCGGCAGTGAAGCCGCATAGCGGGAACCTTGAGCTGAAGCTTTGCCATATGCTGTGTTGCAATTTTCGGGTTTCACGGACTTGGGAGAAGGATCCGTTGGACGAGCAGAAAATCCATGACTTCAAGCCCTGTCAAGCTCTGTGATGCAGGCTCCTGCAAGCAAGGCCGTTCAAGGCAAGGCCGAACCAAAGGCCCGAAGATCTCTGCTGCATGTACATTGCCACACACATACACGTCAATGTGCCAAGGTACACATGCATGTGAACTTACGCCCTGACACACATACATGTGCAAATGCATGCTTACATGTGTAATGTGTATATATGCACCTACACACACACACATACAATCCTACCTGCGTACGTACGTGCATACTTCCGTACATACGTTGCTGCAACACACATACGGACGAACTTATGTACACAAATACACACATTCGCCGGTTAAGTGCATCTACAAGTCTGAAAGGTCAAACCGATAGGTTACAAGAGGGTAGAAAGACAGGTTGCAGTAGGAGTAGGCAAGATCAGAAAACAAAAGCACTGTGTACCAAAAGTCGTGGATCAGCGAAACAGGTAAACAGACGTGCAATGGAGTACATGAGATAAGTACGTTGAAGAGGTGGGGCCGGAAACGACAGATGCAGGGTGTACTATGTGAGACAGATCGGGGCAGGTAGCTCATTCTACAGCCGACGCACGCAAGAAGCTTTTCATACAACAGCGACAAGATATATCGAGCAGACGAAACTAACATGATAGGCAGGAGGTACAGCACAGATTCGTGAGCTGCGTCTGAAAACGGTGAAGACAGATCAATGGACTTTGGCCTGTCTTCTTATGCAGGCCTCGCCACCGGAGCCGGGAAGTGCCTCGAAAGTTTCCGACAAGGACCTGCCGTAAGGTGTAGGGTCGAGTGGCTTGCTGTTGACAGCTGCAAACTCACGAAATTCACAGACTATCGCAAGTTTGCAAGCTGCCTCGCTGGTCCGTGTTGAGCCGCACACCTCGGCGACAGAAACACTTCGCAGGGAGGGAGGGAGAGCGAGAGAGAGTCAGAGTTCGTTTTGAATGGTGCTGCCAATTCGGCACATGATGGTCTCCCGCAGGATCAAAAACTGGAGACAAGAGTTGAACAAGTCGGATTGTAGGCTACAGCACGTCAAAAGCTTGACTTTCGGAGTAAGGCAGCACACCTGCCTGAAATCCCCCAAAGCCTGGATGCTAAGACTTAAGCCGAAGTCTGCCCTCGAGGCGCCTGTGCCTTCTGACGATGCGCCGGAAGCTCCAAGCAGTGCATCGGCACCAGCCGGAAAAGCGGGCCCCTTCCCCTATAAAGTGTTGGGTCTTGGGCTCGGGGACTCCAGGTAAATCGCTGATGTTCAAGCTGAAGGTTTTGGGTGTGAAGGAGTTTGGTGCGTGCACGTGTCTCAGCTGACTGCATGGCAAAATCAGTGTATACATTCAGCCCGGTCTACAGTCAGAAGCAACCCCCAAAACAGGACCCCACTTGTTCAAAGACCGAATTTATCCAAAAGACTTTCTGATTTCCCCCGGGGGCATGAGTCTCGAGGCCGTGTTGCCTCGCTGGCACCATCAAACATGAGCACTGATTCAACGCCGGAAGTCCTTCAAGAGACATCGGAAGCCCTCAGCCCGGACAACAAACAACCTGACGCCATGCAACAGGCTTGAAAGGTCTTTTGTCCCTGGAACTCTTCTAAGGAGCTGTGGCCGACATGCCCAAGCCTTCCGCGAGAGGCGATAGGCTTACCCCCTGGACATTGTAGCGCCATAAAGGTTCAAGAAGGCGTCAAGGTGATTTTTTGGGGGGCTTTTTACTGTGTGGAGTTCGGAGATGCAAGAGGTCTGGGCCCTAGGGTTGAATTGAGGTCGTAGGGCTTCATGGAATGGTGTCATTGCTCTTGTTTCTTTGCGGTTATCGGGATGCAGAGCATGGGCTTTTTGGTGTGACAAAGCCGCAAAGCCCTCAGAAACGCTGGTGCGACACCCTGTGGCAAAGCATATCACAGCAACGAAGCGAACTTCAAGCAGCTGCTGAGGACGCACCCGTTTGCAAGTAATGCATGAGCTCGAAAACTGAAGCGAATCAGAGACACTGGATAGGCTCCAGCATTTAGCATGCCTATCGCCCACCTTTGACAGTGGTTTCCTCCTTCAGCTGCGTGTGGCAGCTGCAGCCTCCTCTTGAGTGTTCACCTTCCCGGACTATCAGCGCACAGTGCCAGAACCCCGAAAGATGCACGGGACATTCCACACAGCGGTGAAGTTCCAGGCCAACACAGCAACTCACGCGCAGCTGCTCGACAGGCGACCACCTCATGGACGAACTTCAGGCACTGCGGAGCCTTGTCTGTAGCTTCTCGATGGCCAAGTGTGCTGAGCTCGCGGGTCCATCCCGGCGGCTAGGGGATTAGGCTGCAAGCCTTTTTGAGACTCGGTTCGCGCGTGTCTGGACTCCGCATGCCATCAGCCCACGTGTACTGGAAGGGGCCCAGGGTTATTTTTT